AGCTGGCTTGAGCTCTGGCAGCTGCCGCAGCCCGGCAGCCAGCAGTTCGCAGACCAGCACTGGTTTGCAGACCGCCAGTTGGGAACTGCTGTTCTAGTTTGTTTATAGTTATCCTTTGTAATTTGACCCAGTTTTCACTTTTTGTAGGACTTTTTGATTTTTAAATCCTTCAAAATCTCCTGGTTAAGCTGGGGGGTTTCTTGTTCTACTTCGTATTTTGCTACAAAATGGAATAAGTTTGCTCTTGTACACTTAATGATGTCTCTTTGAAAAATTGTCAACTGTCTTCATTTGCTTTTCCTCTTAGGACTTGCTTCCCATAGGCTATTACCTACCCAACTCCAAGTTTGCTGAAGTCTGCTTTCTTGAAATCCATTGTCCTTATTTTGCTGTTGTCTCTCCTACCATTCTTTAGAGCCACAAAGTATCATTTCATGATCACTTTCATCCCCACTGCCTTCCACTTTCAAATTCTCAACCACTTCCTATTTGTAAAAAATCAAATGTATAACAGCCTTCCCCTAGTAGCTTTCTCCACCTTTTGAAATAAATAACTTGTCTCCAATACATTCCAAGAATTTGTTGGGTAATCTGTGTGCCCTGCTGTGTTATTTTCCCAGCAGGATGTCTGGGTAGTTCAAGTCCCCCATCACCACCAAGTTCTGTGCTTTGGATGATTTTGTTAGCTCTTTAAAGAAAGCCTCATTCACTTCTTCCAGGGTAGGTGGCCTGTAGCAGACCCCTACCATGACATCACCCATGTTTTTCACCCTTTTTAGACTTGTTGAAAGCCTCTAGATAAGGATGCCTCCTCCTTCCATCTCAACCTCAGTCCAAGTATATGTATTTAACATCTTAACACAAGTTTCTTTGAAAAGTTTCTCAAAACATGCTGAATGTATAATCAATCCCCTAAAGTGCTGATTTCTTTTAAACACAGTTATTACTTCTAATGAACTTCTGTTCTCCAAACATCTGGTAATATTAGAAGTTAAAACTGACCGACTTCTATTACAGACGAGCAAAATGAAAGTCTCACCAAATCTTACCACTTCTGAAACTTACCAAACAACTTCTCCAACATTTGAAGAGATGAGATAACGGATGAACTGTTTCATGTTGTTGTAGATTGCACGCCCTTCTTCCACAGCAGCTACGATGGTTGAGAAGTTGTCATCAGCTAAAACCATTTCAGAAGCCGTTTTAGCTACTGCAGTACCTGACCCCATAGCAATCCCAATTTCTGCTTTCTTCAGTGCAGGGGCATCATTTACACCATCACCAGTCTAAAATACAAAGTTTATCAGAAAACAGGAGTACTTATACATGGAGACTAGAAGAGGATTTTACATAGGGGCAAAAATATAAGTTGGGTGAGTGAAAGGCCAAAATCCCAGTAATTTGTATGTAAGATCTTGACCAGTTTGTGTTAAGAATCTTCCACATATGCCCAAACCTTACGGGCCTGGCCTGAGCCCGAGACCTAGCTAACAATGAACAAAACATGGCTAAAAGGGGAACAGAAAACAGGCCCTGTTGTACAACGAGGCATGAAACAAGCTGAGACAGCAGAACCTCAGGTGCAGGGCAGTAGTTGGGGCCTTATTGTGAATTATAGACACAACTCTTTGAGAGTGGCCTCAAAAGTCTGCCTGACAAGTTCAGGAGGAGATAGCAGTGTATCCTCCCCACATACCATCCAGCGTTTGGGGAGGGGAGATGGCCAGCATGCCAGCATGAATAAATATATCCATCCCTCACAGATGCCAATCCAGTCCAAATGGGTACATTGATAAATATATACAATTGCCAATGTATATATTGTTCTCTTTGTTTTAAGACCACAGAGGAATGTACCTGTGAGCAAACTTGTCTGGGAGATGCCACCCATTATTTCTATGAACCTGGAATCAGGATTTAACCTATTTACTGCAAAAATGACACTTGAGCCATAACACCTGTTTATTAGCATACATGTAAATCTGAACCATGGGAGGAGCAATTATATAATCTTTTAGACGATTGGCTTATTGTGCTCATTATGTCTTGCTGCTAGAACCTATCCAGGGGCTCGGGAACTCCCACCCCATCACTTCTCTCAGCCCATTGGCACCCTATATAATCTTTAGTAATCCATTGTTTGGCATTGAGGCTACATCTACACTACAGCTGTGTCTACACTGGCAAGTTATTCCGGAAAATCAGCCGCTTTTCCAGAAAAACTTGCCAGCTGTCTACACTGGCCGCTTGAATTTCCGCAAAAGCACTGACGATCTAATGTAAAATCATCAGTGCTTTTTCAGAAAAACTATGCTGCTCCTGTTTGGGCAAAAGTCTTTTTCCGGAAAACTGTTCTGGAAAAGGGCCAGTGTAGACAGCACAGTAGTGTTTTCCGCAAAAAAGCCCTGATCGCAAAAATGACGATCGGGGCTTTTTTGCGGAAAAGCGCATCTAGATTGGCCACGGACACTTTTCCGGAAAAAGTGCTTTTCCGGAAAAGCATCCTGCCAATCTAGACGCACTTTTCCGGAAATACTTTTATCAGAAAACCTTTTCCGTTAAAAGCATTTCTGGAAAATCATGCCAGTGTAGACGTAGCCTACGGGTTTTGCCAGAAGAGGCAATGCAAATGAAGCGCTGATTAGCATTTTTTCATGCTTCATTTACATAATCTTTTCCAATCCGTTTTTGTGCAAGGGGGGGCACATCACACCACTCGGCCATCAGCCCGGCTGCACTTGCCGCAGGCTGCCATCTGGGGAGAGGGGGCAATCGGGGGGGCTGCAGGAGGTAAAAGGACAAGAAGTTTAAACTTGAATTGACAGGCACAGAAGATGATCCGAGTAGTAATAGTCTGTTTCTAATGCTGTTTTCTGATTAAGCCTATAATCAATATGTAAACATTACAAGACAAATCTATTAGGTCATCAGCTTTCTTGGGTAAAACCCACTTCAGGTGAGCCGGAGTGAAAATTACAGAATCCGGGGTATATACACAACAGCAAAAAAAAATTCTGTCAATTGTAGGACCAGTGTTACTGAAGCTAAGTCAGGTTGGACGTGTCTCATTCATAGCATGTGATGTAGAAATGTGAATATCAAAGGTGGGGAAGTTGCCTTTGTAGTGTGCCAACCAGTGGTCCTTCAGGCCATACACTTAGTGAATAAAGTGCTTAAACGGAAAGACAGTTTGCTGATTATCTACCTCTTACTCGGATTACTCTGAAGATAAGAAGATTCTGCCTTAGGGAGATGGCAGTGCCTTTGACTTGTAGCCTCAAGTGATCAGAGATGTGCTCAGATGCTTGGGGGAAGGAAGGAAAAAAGCCCAATTCTACCAAGTTACATATAACATTTTGGCAAGGTTTTGCTGTGAACCAGCAAGGTATTTCTGATGCTGAACTATACCCAGGTAAATACATTACTTAAGTAATTTTCTGAGCAATGCACTGCTGTACATATTCCTAAAAAAATCTAAGGGTATGTCTACACTACAACGTTAATTCGAACTAACGCGTCTAGAACTAAAAACTAGTTCGAATTAGCGTTTTGCTAATTCGAACTAGCAAGTCCACATTGAGTGGACTCTGAACAGGGCTTAAGGATGGCCGGAAGCAGTGCCGGCAGGGCATCAGAGGAGGACTTACAGCGTGGAGATGCTGTCTCAGGCTAGCCGAGGGCTGCGCTTAAAGGGTCCCGACCCCCACCCCGGACACACAGTTCTAAGGGGTGCCCCGCTTGCAAAGCAGTCCTGGCTTGGATTGCCCGGAGTACCCACACTGGGCACATCACACCACTCGGCCATCAGCCCGGCTGCACTTGCCGCAGGCTGCCATCTGGGGAGAGGGGGCAATTGGGGGGCTGCAGGAGAGCTTC